CCTATTCCGGCTGTGAGAAGGAGGAGACCTATTACTAAGGCAGGAGCAGGGACAGAAGTGCCTTGTGTCTTGCCCACCACTTGCTTTTTTTTTTTAATTAAGTTTTGCTATAGAGTGTCTGCTCACCAGAGACAGGGAGGGAAAGTAAGAAATCACCCCCCTGGCCTCCGGGGGAAATGGCCATGCCACAGTCCCTTCTCCATCCTCCTCTCAGGATTTTTGGCATGCATGCACACGTGCCTGGTATAATTTTCAAGATACCAGGTCCAGGATTCAAATCGTGCAATTGGCTGTGTGGGATCCAGCGCTGTAACCTCCACATCACCTACTGGCCCCACTTGCTTCATTAATATCAAATGTATGCAGTTGGCCAGTCTTTTCTCCTCAGGAAGATTCCACAATAAACACACAGAAGTACAAGGGACTTAGAAGTTACTCATGTACTTTACACACATCTTACTTCACTACTCCTTCATCCATGAGAAAACATACTTCAAAGAGAGAAAAGAAATTATATAACATTTTAAAAACATATATCAGCAAAAAGAAAGCTGCTTGAAAAGTCTAAAGAAAAGGATGCTAGGGATAAACAGATGGCATAGCAGTTACATTGCTGGACTGCCATATGGCCGACTGCAGTTTGAGTCCCAGACCCAGTCACTTGAAACTCATGTTGGGCATATGTGTGCATGACCAAGATATCCAGCTAGCACACATGCCCTAAGGCAAAAACCTCTACAAAAAAAATGAAAAGGAAAGAAAAGGCTGTTGAACACAGGCTAGAATGGGATGGAATAAAGGAGAAAGATGTAGGAGTATATGTTTTACTTAATAGATATTTGAGGGCCGGCTTTGTGGCCTGGGGGTTAAGGGAGCCGAATCCCACATGGTTGACCACAATGTGAATCCCTGTCCCAGCAACTTGAAAAACATGCTGGGTGTGTGTATGCACATGCCCAGAAATCCTGACAGGATAGAGAAATGGAGAAGAGATTATAGTGTGACCACATTCCACTGAGGGTACTTTCTTCCTCTATGTTTTCTCTCTTTCTGGTGAGTACATATGCCCTCTGGCAAATCATACACAAAAAATTATACACGCACACACACACACACACAGAGAGAGAGAGAGAGAAAGAGAGAGAGACCTGAAAACACAGAAAAGTGTCGCCTTAAATGGAAATGGATAGAAACAATATTTACCGGTGTTTTACAGCAGGAACAGTAGCATCCTTAAGACCGATTTTACTCATTTGATTCTGTACATCTTGAATATTTTTAAGGAGCTCATTATTTTTGAAAATACAAGCCTCCAGTAATTTGTGTTCCTCAGTGACTTCCTCCTGTACACTGTGGCCATGGGGCTCAGATGACTTTATGGATAAAGCATCAAGAAGTTTTTCACAGGAGGTGTCTTCACCCCATTCAACACATCTAAAGCTTAAACCAAGCATCTTCAAACGTTCATCCAAACGTCTGGCCTTGGCCATTAGATGAGTTTCTGCCTCTTTATTTTTTATCATCAAAGAACTGTCTGGCGCCACCTGTATATCTGAGGCTGCAAAGTCTGTAACAAGCTCCACAGAGAGTTCAGCTGTTCTTACAGAAGCCAAAAAATCTTCCAGATCTTTGAGAGCATCTTCACTCATCTGCACCTTGCGGTTCGCTTCTTCGAGCTCTGTTTTGCATTTCAATATAATATTCTGTGTTGCGTGTAGATCAAATGGGTGTAATTCCTTTAATACAGCATTGCCCGACTCTCCTAAATCATTACATATTTCAATCTGCCTTGCTATGGAATCTTGGAGAGTCTAAAATAAAGGTAAGAAAAGCTGAAAAGACTGAAGTAGAAAGAAGGCCATGCTTCAGAAGTAAAACTCAAAATATACAGATTTGATCTAGAAAAATGCTTCTGAGTTTAGTCAAAGCTGGTAAGGAAACATTTTAATTACAAATAATCAAGAAGCCCAGCTGTTTCATTATCTAATACCCTTCCTGATATTTCAATTCCAAAAAGAAAAGTACAGAAATTTATTATGCCAAAGCAAATAATTAGAAATGGAATGGTTGAGAGATGGGTTATAATTTAAAAAAGAAAAATTAATTTAAGGTGGGATTTGGAATAAGTAAATTGTAAAATATGCCAACTTATGCATATAAGTCTAACATGCTATTTAGGAATTCAGTCATTGAAGAAGGCATTCATAAACTAGGCCTTATTTGAAATTCAAAGAAAATACTCCATTATTTACTCCACAGAACCGACCTCCAAATTTGTAAAAACTTAAAGGGTTGAGAAATAAATAACAAGTCTAAATTACTGAGGAGCATTCAGCCATTGCTTATGTATTTATTTATAATCTAAATCTATATTATAGTGAATAATTAAAAACCCATAAACATCTACAAATCTGTGAAGAACTGATCATTCTGTAAGTACAATGTGAGAATTTTTTTTACCCTTAGCTTTTGATAAATATCATCAGCCCCAGTAAGATGAAATTCCTGGATGGACATTTCATGGAGAGGCAGCTCTGAGCCACAGAGATGGAGCAATTCCTTCTCCATAGGTAACACAGTCTGCAGTGCGATCTCTAGAGACTCCATTCTAGGTAAAAAATGAACCAGACATGAAGGGAAATCTTATCTTATGAAAAATATTAATATCATTATTTAACCAAAACAATAAAAATAACTATTTAATAAAAGTATATTTAATGATATGTACAGACTATCACATTAAAACTCAAACTCATCAAGAAGTTGTTTGCTATACCCAAGCAGTCATTTTTTAAAAAAAAAAATTTTATTTATCTGTTTATTTGTTGTCATTTTTAAGCCACAAGGTCCAGGTCTTGAACTGCAGTTGGCCCTGTGGGAATTCAGCACCTTAGCCACTATGCTACCTGCTGGGCCCCCAAGTAGTCTTCTTATCATCCAAGCATCCGTTCATTTATTCATTCAATCAACAAAAATTTATTTAGCAAGCATCAACAGGGCTAGGCTAACCATGAACCCCACTGGGCCAGAACAACTCCTGCTTCAATTATCATTATTAATGATTTCTCCTTTCACTCTCAAAAGTGGCCCAATATCCAATTATTCTTAATAGTTTAATCAATAACACACTGAAGGGGAAAACTGTAAAACATAATAAGCCTTTCCCCTCTTTTTTTTTTTTTTTTTCTGCATAGCTTTTTGCTAGAC